ACTGCGGATACCGTTTCACCTCACTATTCAACAGTGCTCTGAGGCGTATTTCTGGTGGTTCTGCTCTTCTATTTTGATTCCATGCCTGCACGACTGATGCGACAATTTCGGTGCACTGGAGGTTACTTTCGTAATCCTCGGGCCGTTTCCACGATAGTTTACTGAGCATGGAAATCGGCTGATTGAGGTGGTGAAAATATTGTGGCATTCAGTCAGCTCTTAAATGAACCCAAATTCTTCGCAATCGTTTTGTCTAGAGCTATCAGTAGGTTTATGATTTTGAGATTATTTACTTGCAGGTATCAAACCGACATTCTTTATTCCCAGTAATTACAATTATTTGAGTGCAACAGTAATTAAAAAGCTTTTTAATTGTGAATGGTAAGTTGCCCGTTTAATCTTATTTCAATTATTCCAACTTCGACTGAAGTAAGATGAAACACGATATTTAATATTGGTGGAGTAGTTAAAGTACTGAGCAAAACAAATGTGTGAAATTATCCTCGATTGAGCAGTCATGAGAAGATAAGTTAGCTCAGTATCAAAGAGCATCATCTCAGCTGGTTGAAGGAGGGACGGGCAGCAACCTGGACGACGGTGATTACGAACCAGTTAACTGAGTCTAATCACACAGTCAAGGTGATTGACGCTTTCCATGCCCTGCATACGGTCAAGGGAAGGTTACCCAAAGAGGTCAAGTCCCTAATTTCGTGAACACCCCAGGCGATTGCCATCAGTCTCCACNCCCCCTTGTGCGCCCAGACCGTTTGTAAGAACACTGGTCTTACCGTGGCATTCCACTTACTAGCTGGTGACGTAATCTCCGTCATCCGCTTTCCATGTAACCACGCACACAAATACATACACCCACAAATCTCAATTATTATAATTATATCATCCCTTTTTAAACTCCGATTTCCTTTGCAGATATATATCTCTTTTCACCGTCTGTCTGTTATCTGTTATAACTTGTGCTTTTAATATGCCAGTTGGTGTTTCACCGAAAACGAGCTCAGTTACTAACTGATATCGTCATGAAAGAAAGATGAGTTGATCTGTGTTGGAGGCCTAATTATGGTCTACTTGGAGTACCTTAAAGCGGTTTTCTGAACGGTGAAGGCTGCAGTGCAAGACGCGATTAGTTAATTCATCGACGGACAGGTGCCACGGTGTCCAGTAACATTGCAGTTATAAGGCTTCCTAAACAATATGATGTAATTTTGCGGTGTGGGTTTCACTCACTCCTTGGGAGATCGTTAATTGCCCACTGTTTGTATGCATTACAATGCGATGGAAATATTTGTGATAACCAACAAAGAGCACTGGACAGCTGTTTCGTCCTGTTTAGGACTCTTCATCAGTGCGTACTTTTTGTCCCTGTCAGGACTCGAACCGTGATCAGTCGGGTCGGGACTTCAAACCCTTACCCCTGAGCTACACGGCCGACGGTTATCACCTTGTGCGAATGGCTCAATCAATTTAGAGTATCAAGCTTGGATTACCAGTATGGATTAACAACATGACGGTGCACCGCCAGACACTGCTCTGCTGGTGAGAAGTTTCCTAGATTCGGAATTTCCCTACAGACAGATTGTCCGAGGAGGACCAAAGGGGTGGTCTCCCAGATCACCTGACCTGTCTCTATTGGATTCCTTTATGTGACCATATCTAAAGCATACTGCTGATTTCCGAAAATCAAGAACGACCGAGGAGCTTAAATAGAGCATTGTGGCGCAGTGCGCAAGTATTCCAACTGCTACTATTCTCAAGGTGGAAGAAAACTATCTTCACCGTATTTTGTTATGCAAGCAGCAGGATGGAAAACGTATAGAACAACTTTTGTAGAATAAATATGCATTTTTCTATGATATCTTTTTGCCTCCAGAATTCTATCTCAGACGTAGTTGGCAAGATCGTTCAACGCGAAAAATGCCAGTTGGTAAAATCCCAAGAAGAGGTTTGAGTTGGACTATGTTGGAGTTCGTACTTAGGATAAATTCAAAGTATTATTATGCTTAGCCGTTGACCGAACCCGCTTAGAAAAATAGTGCATGTATCTTAGACGAATCAAAAATTGGCCCAGTGTCATTATCGCTTGAACTTTTTCCATTCCAAATTTCCCACATGGCGTATCGTTCCGCAACGGATTCTGTTGTGGTGATTGTCTACCAACACTTAAGAAGCATCGGATTCAGGACTTATCTTCCTCCTGTACCGGCCCGAAAATCACGCGACCGGTCGGGTTCAGTTGTCGCAACAGGGGACCTGGTGCTTGCCCAACTAATCCGAGCGAGAAACCACAACTTGTTTATAGCCACGAGTCTTAGGCAGGCCCAGTGAACTTCGACTGTCTAGCAGGAGTGCCATCATCACACGGATGGACTGGACGTGACAACAGGAGCATAACAAATAGTACAATACAATGTGAAACGACGGAGCAATCGCACCTCGTATTATTCACCTAACAACATTGCATCTGAGCTTGATGTTGTGACCTCTTAAATTGTAAAGCGTATGGTTTAAACAAAGAAAGCTCAACAGTCTATATAGTCTCAACGTGTGGTTCCCTTAATCCATGTGGTACCGCGACAAATATTCCACAGGTTGTGGTCCTATACTCAGACTGTTGACCTGAACTCAATATCAAAGTGCTATTGAACTGTTGTAAACCGTTTCAAAAAATCGAAAAATGGTGTAAGCAGAACTCGGGTTATCCAGGTTGGGGCTTGCTCAACACGTCTTCCTCATTGTTCGGTGTCGGTGTCCGAGTACACATTTCAGTGTCCCTTGTCATAGTAGTCAGAGACCAGTAGACAGTTCTGGCTCGATCGGGTAAAATGAGCTGCAATCTCATGCGTGCCCTGAGCCGCAATAGTACTCCAAAAAGGATCACTTGAATTGCTCATTGTTTGAGCTGGATGATAACGAAACTGGCTGCTCTTAAATTAGTGGAGCGGTTAGAACATCGAGCCTAAAGCTCGGAACACGTTAGTTCTTTTGGGGCAAACCATGTGCCCATCACAACATGGGCGGTGTACGTTGTAGATAAGACGACATATTGTGTGAACTATCTATAGTTGCTCAAGAATGAAGCAACTATTGGTCGACTTTTGTACTTGAGTGGAATTCACACACAAGTTTATTGAAGACCTTGGTTGAACTCGTGCATGCAAAGGTTCATTTCAAAATTCTCGCCTTATGTTGACTGATTGATTTATCGATCCATTTTGACCTCACTGACCTTCTTACTTCACCGACAGAGGTCAACTACCTCTGGTTTGGTACATCCTGATCCAAAGATCATCATATTATTCACGGATAAGTACACGACGTTCTTGTGGATGGAGGTGGAACGAAAAATCGAAACCAACTCCTTGAGCGGGGAACTCACCATAAAGGACTTTTGATTGTTAATCGTAAAATCAATTCATCCCGACTTGACGCTCAGTCCAGTAGATAATGTATGACGGCTGGAGCATTAATTACTTTGTCGGAGTAACCAGTAGAAGGAGATTGGCGGATTTGCTTCTAATTGCAACGGTTTCACTGAGAATAAGCGCAGCGAGTACAATGGAACAAGTCGGATTCAGAGCACGTAATTTTACGGAAACAATAACGTGCCAAAAGACAATGATTACTTGGATAAGAGGATAGATTGCAAGAGCTGGAAATGTTTACATGTGGTGTACCCTGAGTTTTGCAATTATGTGACTGTGACGATGTGCTCCGATCTGCGCTTGAGAGTATGCGGGTTAGGGACAGAGACAGAAAGTGGTCTGTAACTAGGTGCTTAGGCATGGTCGAGATGATGGAGAACATTGAAGAAATCACCAACTGGCCAGCCCCATTGTCGTTGACGTTTTATTGTAACTTATTTTGCCTGAAACATTCCAGTTGGCTTATTGTGATGATCGTTCAGCGAGTACGCACGCACCGCGGTACATCTTCATCTTCTAGGTGGACAATTAAGAAACAGAGCTCCCGACCAATCCTGCGGTCTCAAGTAGACTGCGAAAAAGCAACCAAATGTGCCATATCGTTGTCGACTGTACGTCTAAGAATCGATTGTGGATTGTTTAATGATTGTGATACTTATTTGCATGAGTTTCCGAATAGAGTTAACTGCATCCACAAATTGTTTTGGTTCTTCTTGACTTAACGCTATTCAGTCGGTTTTCACTCCGAATCCGAGTTTTCACTGTTCGATTCCGATTCCGACTCCGAATACCACGCTAAATTTCCCCAATCATTCTGCTCAGGAGCAGGCATTCTATCAGACGGCCATCAAACTCATTCTTAGTCAGAAAGCCCATCCATAACCACCTCATCCGGAAGTTCACGACCACTTTCTTGTCCTTTAGTCGCCCTAACGACAGTTTTTGCAGGTTTGTGCATACTAATTCCTCTCTCTCTCGCTGAAACTTTCTGCCTCTCGTCTGTTGCTCTATAATCTTCCCTTTTAGCTCCTCATGGGAGAGACTCAACCTATTGTTTAGTTGACATTGCGTGATTGTTTCTCCTGAACGTGTCCCCTTACTTTCAGCTATTATCCGCATTTAGATCGTCCTGATTATTTTTTTCTCCATGGCCGGTGACAATCAGTGGTTGCTCAGGACAAACTACCGTGGTTGCGTAACGAATTAGGAATACTCGTACCGTTGAGAACCACTATTAATTCGGAAGTTCATAGTTGTTTAGAGCCTTGTCCGATTCCCATTTTGTTGCCACCCTTTGAAATGCGTTGTTCTAAGTCGCGCATTTTATGAATTCTATTAAATACATATTCTTTTATGACAAATGAAACAAAAATACCTAGAGAACGAAAGAGAAAGAAGAGTAATAAATTGCTGGCATTGGTTATCAACTGGTTTTACAATTACGAAACCGGTTTGAATTGCCTACGCGTTGTTGTTGTTGCCGTTAATCAATTTGCAGATCCTGCAGGATCTCAAGGATTCCGGTTATATCTGGAAGCGGGTCAACTTGCGTTTCAGCTGAGAACGGAAACTCGCTCTTGGACTATATCTGCTCCATTTGTGAAAACGTTGAACCATTGGATCAATATTGCTGTTGTTTGGGGCAAAGGTACTGAAACATTAACCGTAAGTTACCGATTCTTAAATAGCCTTAGGCACTTCTCAACTACGAATGAACGCGGAACTTGAGTCTGTTAATTCGCACGGGGTTAATCGTTTTTTTCCAGATAGCCGCATGAGCGGTTGACTGTGTAGTTTCTGAGTGATATGGATTTCCACCCGAAAGTTAGCTGTTCGAGTCCCGACATGTGCACAGTTAAAGTGTGCACTCCAGGTGAATCCCAGTACGGACGCGACAAGTGCTAATTACATATATATATATATATGCCATTAAATGTTTCTCAGTAATTGAAATGGCTCAGTATGTATCAGGGGATCACGACTAGTCTTGCAGACAGAATACAACAGAGAATTTAAGGATCATTGTATACAGAAAAACAATTTTTAGTATTTTGTGGATTATTTGGATTTAGTTTTGCCATTCAATTCGACATTGTTATTTCTTTCTATTTTTTCGAGAGCAAATGGTAAGCTCTTTGTTAACTGTATCTTTCAGTGCTCGAAATTTTTTTTTATTACCAAAAAAATAAGTGGTTCAATTCGTGTCAGCCACCGTCTGAACGGAGTTTTCGGCACCAACTCATTTAGGGCCTACTTCGAAACAGCTTATTCAACGGCTCATGTCCACATGTCCTCTTGATCATGGTTAACGGCTTCACGATTGATCGTATCACGACTCACTTTTCTGAACTGACAGACCGAGATTAATTGCCATGGTCTTCGCTAATTCTCATCTATACCTTTCGTAATTCAAGCTGTCCGAATATCATCTTGAAATGATATTCGGACAACTTGAATTGAAAAAAGGTGTAGATCGGAATGTTCCACCGTCGAAGACAAAATGATCCTAGTATTAGTGCATACACACTCGAACGTCACTATCTCGTTCGGATTTTCCTTCACACAATCAACGATCGGTGGCATTTTCGTTGTTGTGTTCTTTCTCCCAACTAAACGTAAGGACCTGTTCATAGTACTCGTGGCAATGTCACAGTCCAATAAGACCAGGCTTAGTCCCTCTGCTACAAAGGGAAACCAGTATGGCAATGTTGCACGATTTTTGTCCTGGGCGATTTCGCTGCATCTCAACTGGTGCCTACTGCAGACAAAAAGAATATTTATCTAGGTTTTGGGAACGAATTACAAAAAAAAGTTGTAAATGGGGGGAAGCGTCACCAAGGCAAAGCTAAGGTAATGAACAAGTCGTTTTGTTGACAGAATGGGTTTCCATCGTTTGGTTGCAGTCGCCTCAGCAATCTTAAGAATTCTGATGTTATCGTTAGTAAATATCACTCAAAATGCTTTCTCGCAATCCACGAGGTGTTGCGTCATCAACAAGAGCGTGGCCATCGATGAGCTTGGTTGTTTGTATGCACGGACCTTACCAATTACCGGCTGTGTGGACTTTGCCATGGCAACCTTGCATCAAACCCAGTTCGGAATTTGTTCTGTTCGACAGTGGATTGATGCAATCAGGTTCCAAATAATTGAACTTCCGAATGGAAAACGACATGGCATCCATTATCCTTTCATCGGGCAGTTCGTGCGCGTATGGTTATGTGTACCATGTCTCGATCACATAATGGAATCCGTGTGTGTAGTTCTCTAACAGTCATCTCCGTCTCACACTGATTGACTATGTCAACTACGCTCATTTGGTTATGGTCAGGTCATGGATGCACAGAAGCGTCCATTGATCGCAGGGAGAGTGTATGCATAGTGCTTGTGCACCACAGCTTGTTTCAAGCTACGCATTGGTCAACGCTAGTGACCGGCAATTTTTAAGTGTTGGTTGCATCTGAAGTAGTAAAACTGTGAATATATATATAGTACTACCCCAGTTGCCATTTGATCGATTTCGTCAAATTTTGCTGTCTGAAATGAAAATGCTGTGCCGTTACTTCTTGAACGTTTATCATCACGTCAGTATAACAGCTGTGTTTCTACAAGCGCGAACATAATCTATATACATCCTTTTCTCCCAGATTTACGTCAACAGAACGGTGCTAGCTGAGAAGAACCGTTACACTGGGGATAGTTATGTCGGTACCTCTCAACTTTCGTCCGCGATTCACCTGGGCTGTGAGAAGGATGAAAATGGAAAAGTGGATACAACAACTATGGCAAAAAATTTTGAGATTGCAACCGTCTCCCTGTGGTATTGGCCGATTCAATTACCACAATATTTGACAGGTGGTCTAGGTATGCCCCAAATAGTTCTTTTCTTTTATTCCAATGTGTATGATTGCATCAAGTAAGTATCCGTATCCGGAATCCGGCGAAGAATGACAATCTGATGATGCTTTTGATACAAGGAATGATTGGCCGTTGTCAAGGTCCTTCCCGAATACGATGCTTCCCGATGACGCTGAGCATTGTTCTTAACGGGATTGCAGACGAAGGAGGCGCATGAAGATAGTGACTGGTTAATGAGCAAGATCAATTTTATTCAGTTCCACTAAGGACATAAGGTAGTGGTTGGAAGTAAGACTACAATAATGGGAGCAAAGATGGGAAAATTAGCGAGAAAATCAAGTTACTCACCATTCAGTAAATCAGCTTTGGGCACAGTTTCCAAGATTCAAATACGACTAATTATGAGTGGTAAAACTTTCGGTTGAAAATGGCAACAAGTAGACTGATTCGCTTAGGAAACTGCAACAATGTGACACAATGGGTGAAGGACTGCTGCGGTCCTGTTTGGATAATCTTGAATAATAACCCTAATATTTCCACAATTTCATGTGAGTAGCAGAGGATTTGATTAAAGTTTAAATGGAAACCTTAATCAAATCCTCTGGTACTCACATGAAATAATTAATCAGGTTGTGAATGTTTCCAACCGAGTCATAACCCCGGAGGCTAGTGCTGAGATGAACAGGGTCTGTGACCCGCAACAAGCTCGCAAAGATGGGTTTTGCTATATCGTGTAAATGGAGAATGAAAAACGGTCTAATCGGCTGCTCAGTGGCGTAGTGGGTAGCATGCTTGCGTTCTGCCCATGNGGTCGATGGATTCGCACTGCTGATGAGATCCAACCAGGTCAAAACAGCTGTGCAGTACCTCCTAGCTCCTCAGTTCACCCTTTGTTTGCCGTATGCATGATGAATTCCCAATTCCACAATTGACATTCATTAACTCAAAATCGAAAACAAAGTCTTATTATGGGCGTTACTTACAGGCAGATGCTTTCCTTATCCCATAGGGTGTTTACACGAATTGAGTTGTAACAATGGTGAACAAAATTCCATATGATGCATTCCGTTGTGTTGTGTGCCCATGGTTGTTGGACTGTAATGTATGTTAATGATTCGTCAAGTTTTACCGTGAAAGGATCTGCACATACAACATGAGATGGTAAGGAATTCCAGGCAGTACATACTCTGACGGCGAAGGTATGACAGTCCAGTCGAGATTTATAGAGTAGTAACTTGAATGGATGTAACAGTAGATTTACGTTTGATGAAAACGTCAAAAGTCGGCGACAAGGGTGGTTTGGGTTCTGTAATATTTGGTACACTAAAATCATGTCTCCTCGAATCCGACGATACTGAGCAGGGTATAGACCCAATGATTGCAGTCTCCCTATGTATGAACCACAATAAAGTTCTGTGACCATCTTTGTGGCGAGCCTTTGTGGACGCTCCAAAATCTTATGATCACGTTGTAACCATGAATTCCAAATTTGGATGGCATACTCAATATGCGTCTGGATGTATGCTTACAGCAGACGTGAGAACAAAGATAGTTCAAAACGACCGAAAACACGTTTAAGTAGACCGACATGGTTGAGTGCTGTTGATGCCGCCGTGGCACAGTTATTAGCACAGCTCAGGTCTTCGTGGACTGCAACACCCAAGTCCTTCTCTGTTGATGCATGAGGTAGTAATTCGTTTCCGAGGAAATAAGGAAACCGCCCATGGTGGCGTAGCGAAATCACCTTGCATTTGGAGACGTTGAATTGGATTTCGTTCTCAATGGACCATTTGTGAGCTGCAATCAATGTTTCTTGGCGTTCCAGCGAAACCCGACTTTCTGTCACTGTCCTCCACATTTTTACGTCGTCAGTAAACAATAATGTTTGTGGTCCTAGGACATCCAATCAAGCGCGAGGCCTCTGATACCAACATTGTACAGTTTACGGAGCAGTATCTCGTTGTTCATCCGATCGAACGCTTTTGAGAAGTCCAGGTAAACCACATCAACTGCGTCGCCTTTGTTTACTGCCTTAGTCCATTTATCGCAGGCCAGGAGCAGATTGGTGGTAGTACATAATCTCTTTTGACGGAATTCATGCTGAGCTAGGGAAAGGGGGTCTTATTTCTCTAAGTGTTCCATTAAGAAATCCGCTATGATGGATTCTATGACTTTGGATAGAACGGGTATGAGTGTCACCGGGCAGGATCACTACGACGGCCGCCTTTGTAAATTGGAGAAACTATGCCTTGTTTCCACGCCTGGGGCAGCACGGTTGCATCAAACATCCTTTAGAAAAGAAAAGCTAGGGGCTCAGATATGTGATACGCTAATGCAATAAGCGGTTGACGATGTAGATTGTCTGCACCTGGAGCCGAATATTTACACAGATTCGGAAGATTTGAGTTCGCTCTGTCGGCATCAAACGTGAAGGTGGTCATTGGTGGATTTAGAAAAAAGAGTATCCGACGGGGCAGCCGCAGTCCAGCGTTGTTGGGTGTGTCGATGATTTGGGCATATTGGTTTTTCAAGGGACATCACAGATGAACCTGAGTGATTTTACTAAGCCCTCTTTGTTTCTCTGTATCTGTGTTTTCCCAGGAAGCTTGTATACGGCTGCGGACTCGGTCCTGAAAATTGATTGTACAGATTGTCATTCAATAAGCAAAAAAGAGAGCGAAAGAACGCGTTCACTTTTATTTTTCATTATCTCCAAAAGTTGAGCAAGTCAAGTAGACTGATACGTTTTGTTTAAGTACCTACACAAGATAGAAAAGTAGTAATATTGATAAAACCATAATAAGATGATTATTGGGAATTTCCTGTTTCACCCAAATAAACAATTGTGATGTAATATCCTTTCTGCTATTCTCTATTCATTGTTGTCCTATCCAGAACTTTATCTTTTTGGTACCGAATCTTCGATCACAACTACCGCTGCCCCGGTGATCGACACATTACCCTTCAGAGACTTTTCGAGTGAAATGGAAGAGTATCAACCACCGGCTGATCGACAGGCCCTACCGAATCCGATATACGCCGCGGCAGACGTTTACCTACCTATGAATGCTGCATTAAAGCCATCGGACTGGTCAGGAGTCACATTGGTGAATGCTGAGGGAAGAAATAGACCGGCCTATCTGCTTAGTTCGACTACCGGTTATGCTAAAGTGAGTCTTTTGGATCGCTTTCTGACGCCCCGATGAGAGTCTGAAATCATCAGACTGGGTGAACGACCAAAATTTAACTGATAAACCATGAGTTGAATCAATTATTTTTATTTCATTCGGAACGGAAAAGATAATACACATCGAACTGCACGATACTGTCTTTAAACCGTCAGGGGTACTGGTGAATTCATTCGCGGCAACTGATACGACAAATGGAACTGTATCAGCAGAATAATTAACTGAAAGGACAAGTAGTGCATTGTTTCGTCACGTTAGACGATTCGTTTATATTATGAATGAACAGTGAAAAAGTGATCGATAGTGATTCACCCTATTTGGTCAATACATTACGGTGGACATGATCAGACGGTGACGGCAGTAGTGCACAGGGATAACCAAAACCCGCATGCAATATGGTTGAAAACTTCTTCCACTTTCAGTTCATGCCCGGACCAGATATGACGAGCATTACGGATGGGTGATTCACAGACGGTTGTGAGAGACTCAGCGATTTTACGAACTGCGTTTTCGCACTCATGGGGGGGGAGGGGCTGGGGGAGATTTGGGAATGCGTATTCTCACTGGTAATCCGGTGTTTAGAAAGCAGTACTCAATCCACCTAGGCTGTTGTTCACGGACCCAGTACAGCGCGGAGAACGTCGTTATCAAGATTCTTATTTCACCTTGCCCAACCCGATGCGTATCGGTTTTGCCTGTGATTGATCACGTGACTTCACTGCGCAACCAGACTGAATGATAATGTCAACCTCAGTTCATTTACCCTTCTGGTTGTGCTACCTATATAAACTGTCGCGCAGGAACAAGCGAGAAAAAATAAGCATAATTTTTAGTCACTGAAACTTCGGGTTGCAATCTGCATGCCACTTTAAGCCTGAGTTCGGTTGCATAAACGGTTTTATTGATCACTGTTCAAAACATTCATGTTGCGCGAACAGACCTCCCATCTATTTCCATGTATTTCACCTAGATTTCACAGTGTTTCAGTGAACTGTTCACAAATCAATCCACTTCATTGGAAGTGGGCATTCCAACTCAATTTGGATATATTCTAGTGAATGTTTATGCATATTTATCTGCATTTCGTATCGTTTTTCTTCCACTCCCTCGATTGACATTTTGATTGAACGATCATCACCCAGGTAGCCGAAGGGAAGCAATTGAAAAGGGCAAATGAAAGTGCTGGGATAACAATATTTTTTATCAAGCTTAAACCTGACACAGTCCCAACAGGGGGCGGGTATCCTGCGTTCTGTTAACGATAAATCGAATGAAGATCAGCTTCATTGGAGTGATATATGGCTTCAGGAATCGAAGCATTGATTTCATGATGTGATTTTCTCTCCCAAAGTTGTATGGACAGGTAATGTGACCTCTGTGTGATCTGCTGGTTCAAAATATCAACCTACCTGCACTGGACACTAAGTCTGTTTACATTTTTACGTCAGAATCAGCGCGCACGCACCGTTTTTCTCAAGTAATATTACACGTCCGGGTCCAGTAATCAAAGATAAACCGATGAAAACAAGTTTCCTTTTGCAGAATGTGTGCCCGTCGGCAGTTTGGGTGAACCTATGGATTTATTTGTGGCAGATCACGTCAGAACTGAAACTGATAGAAACGTTTTTAACTGAAAATGAGTTTACTTGGTTCGCTATGCAATATAATTACATGTAAACGATCAACATGGTGTAGAATTCGAATGAGACAATCCAGTTAACCATTGACACCATAGTTTGAAGTATAATGTACCTTTTAGTCGCTTCGTGATATCAGAAGCAAACGAAAACAAAATGATCCTCAATGTGGTTTCAATGTCTTAATTTTCCAGCTCGTCAGGCTATAAACCATTTGGCTTTATGTGTGATTGTTTAGAAAACCAGAGACGTAATATATGTATGTGTGAGCTCAAATCAGATTGAAAAATAAACTCACGCAGAATTCGTAAGGGTTGTCTATGAGCAATATCAGTGAACGTCATTTTAGGCTGAATGACACAGCTTTTGATGGAAAGCTATTAAAACCATTATCACGATGGGAAAACTTACTTACAACTGTGACGAAACTTGACAACTTTCCTCGAGTGTAGTTGAACTTGCGGTTTACTACTAATTGCTTCCCCCTATCACAGTTCCATAACAATGATTCTTTACCAAATAATAATATATATAACATATAATATAAATATATAATTATTACTGCGGACACCCTGTGGCTATATGTAACTTGAACAAGTTGTTGAAGTTCAGAGTCAGGCCTGCCGAAGCGGAGACAATTGTGTGATTTATCAGGGAATGTATAGATCAGAACCGTTATCAAAAATCATAATTTGTGGACTAGGTCCCAGGAACTTGGGACGTGTGTTTCTCCTCAATTTCTGAATTGGTATCGTTTGGATTGATAAATTGACGCCTTTGTATTGGTTATATTCATTGTTTCCTCTATTCCACACTTCCGACCGCATCAGCTGTTCACTTTCAAAGACAACTCTTGCCCCGTGGTATTATCCGCATGTGTGGACGGATTTTCGATCGGATTCTGGGTTCGGCTCGATCCGCAAACTAAGAGCAACAATGAAATATGGGATTTATTCGAAGTTGTTGGTGCTTTCCGAATCGTACTGATCAAAGGACAGTTTAATGTGGTCTGTGAGTTTGTGCGGTCAAACTGGCTCTCAATCGGTTGAACACTGATTCATTTATCGTGCTTGTTCATTACCCCATTCTGGCTACTCGTTATAAGTGTAAACCTTATGCGGTCAAACCGTCTGAAGAATTGTAGATTTACATTCGCAACTGACAGCTCACGCAGCACCAGCTGCTGTGTAGCTGATTTCATAGTCAGATTTCACTTCCAACTCTACTGTCCCGACCTATCTGTCGCGTGCAAGAGTGTTCATTCCAAAGCGGAACTCCCTCAGTTCAGTAGTGTGTGGTTTTGATAACTGTATTGCAGTGAACGTTCCTAAGCGTTCTCGTTCAGTTTTTATGACAAGTCCCAAAATCCTCATCAATGCTTGGAAGGTTGTATGTAAAATAGCCACATAGTATGCAAATATTTTTTTATTTAAACAGTGACATTTACGATCTTGTTTCTAATCCTACTAGCACCCTGATTTTTTATTTATAAAATAAGAATTATCGAATTCATGTTGTGACAACAGAGTCGGTCAAATTCTGAGTATTCATATTTCTGAATTCTACCGATCTTCAGTGAATGTAGACGGGAATATCCTGGCTTTTCGTGGAACAGTCATGCCTCCTACCGCTATCTGGTTCAACATTGGCTTTACAATAAACCGTCTTCCACGATGGTCGGTAGACGCCTATATAAATGGTAATTGGGTTGCGATGGGTCCCGTGGTTGCACCAGCCGAAAGAACCAATCTACGTTCTGGGACATACACAAATCTTCTTCTGTTTGGTGGGCTGAGCGTGAATAGTTCGGCTTTCCTGGTTTCGGCGAATGATTTGACCATTGTTTATCGGGCATTGAGAAAGTATGAACGTCATCGATTTGTCGGATACACACGTGAGTAGTTGCAAAACGAACTAGCACTTTTTAGAGTGTCACTCATTCAAACAGACGCCTGCTTGACGGCGACTGAAACAATCTATCGTAATATGCCCCAAAAAATTCTAGTTTCTACCAATTGAGAACAACAATAAATTATAATATGTTTGAACACTTCAACTATTTTACAATGTATTTTTCTTTTCATCTTGTTTAATTAAATGCAGACAGTTCCTATCATTGGATACGTTCTCATAATCTGGTGTTGATCCAAATATATCGCAGAACATATTGTATAATGTCCTTTAAACGCTCAGTTTTAGCGATTCATGGTCAAACTAATATCTATCACCACTCAAGCGGAGAATGTACTTAGGAGGAGAGAAACGTTTGTCGTATATTCTCAGCGGTGTGTTCCGTCTCAGGATGGAACAATAAGTTTACAGTGATCAAATAGTTGTGCGTTCATTTGATCGTCAACATATATCTTTCGGCTGAACTTTCTTTTTGATTACAATGACAACACATTGCCCCGCTAAGGAATAGACTCCATATTTATAAGTACCACTATATATGGAGTGTGGTGGCAGAACATGCGTATCAGTCACAACTTCTCTATGTCACTACTCAATGAAAAAAATGATAACAGTGTGTGTGGGGGGGGCACCGAGTTGAGTTTTATTCCACAATTCTGTGGTTTATATAACAAGGGAAGCTGTGCGCCACAATTCACTGAATGATTTTAGAGTCGTTCGGTAGGACTGAAGTGACCCAGTCTCTTGAACAAATAAATTTGCAGGAGAGTCAATATCAGAAATCTCCCTGAAAGTATGATACGTATCCATCCCGGTAGTAGGGAACCTGGTAAGCAATCATAAAATGCTCACCTGGTTACTGCAAAGAAAATGTCTGGAACGGATCACAAAATGGTCTTAGGTTGAACGTGGGGTCCAAAAGCGTTAAATAAGAAGAGGAAATCAGGTTCGGGTACAGTTATCGTTGAATCAAGTACGGTAAGAGAATTTGGAAAGAAGTAAAAAGCCGCTTCGCGCGAACGAAGTAGCAAACATCTGGACTCAAGAGAGACGTTTACGACGGTGAACAGGAGAACTGGAACACGGGGGGAACAGTGGAAAATTCCGAACACATTGAATAAGAAAACCGAATGTACACTAGAAGGGATCATGTTTGCCAGGTACCTGCAAAATGGATATACGATATTGCAAAGTGCTCCAAAGGGCGATGACACTTAGCTCTGAATGGAGTAAAACGCACACAAAAAATCGGTCGAGTGACGGAGAAATATTGACGGGAAATATTGTAAGAAAGAGAAAAATATAGGATAGTAATCTCGATGATTGGATGAGTGGGCAAACAAATGTGTAATCATAGTGAACCCGATTTCCGGTCTCACGATGAAATCGTCTCTAGTAATCTGTGATTTTCTTTTCTTTTCCAAAGAAAATTTTATTCCCAAGTAGCGATATATTTTGTGATGTATTGGCATGAATACGAATCTCTGAAAACGAGCTGGTTCACCACTCTGTTGTTCTGTTTACTCTGTGGAGATATTTCCACAGTATAGGACAACATCAGTGGCCAGATCCTGGGCAGGATAATAGGTCATCAGTGAAAAGAATTGCGACGATTAGAGACAGCATGGAACCCCAAGAGATGCCGGAGTTAACTGAACTAGCCCCCATGGAATACCCTACCAACGAGAACCGAAATTAAACGGTCGCATGGGAAAGTTTGTACCAAAAGCGTGTGGATAGTTCAAGGTTGATGGGTTTCTCCAGGGGCTTGCTATTTTCTTTCTTTCTTTTTCTTTTTACTTTTTTCATTGAATATGCAACGGTACAATTTTCAGGAAGGGAGAAGCGGCCAATCAAAGAGCTGTCATTCAACACACAATTGGGAAAGTCAGGTAACTGTGGTGGTGGGACTCAAACACGGGGGGATAATTTGGTGACGTTACCACCGGGTCAACACCACCCAAACATAGCCGAACTACTCGGGTACATCGAGATAGGGATGGACCACATACGACTAACTACGATGGTCCATGGTGAAAGGTGCAATACATGACTTGTATGCCTATGGGTCGCCAGTCCACCTGTCGCAGGCTGAACGCATATTACCATTCCTCGAGAAAGTCTCGGCATTCCAAGTCATAGCCATGCGATCACTCCATCGTGATACGATTATCACTGCACTCCTGCCAGTTATTGCGCAGCACTTTTACAGAGTAAAATAAAGCCTTCCATCAAACAATGTGTATGTGATAATGCGATTCCAACATTATCATAATTCTTTGAGGGTTCAGTTTACAAAGCTTGAAAAGGTCGATCCATGCATTGAACCTGTAAAAATGACCGACTGTCTACTCACAAGGTCAAACGGATACTTATACACACACTGATGCAGAAAAACAGGGTCATTTCAATCATGAGTGAAAGATGCAATCGTGCATGGTTATTTAAACTTTGACGTTACTTTTTCAAGGACAGTTGGATGATTATGTATGATTCATTGATGTAGGTCTATCAACAGGCAGGTGATGGATGCATCAGATGTCTATAGTATCACGGCATAAGAACTAACGTTCTGTAAGTTTTACTAATGTTCACAATGATACGAGGTGGCAAAACCGTCACAAGTGAAGAATGAAAAGTTGTTGAAGTTCAGACAATCACGCATAACAGTACGAAACCTAATCCTTTGCTTAGTTGAATATCCATATTCCCTATCCAGAATTAACTAACGACCGTGAATGTTTGCAAGGTTTTAAACAAACTTGAATCCCAAAGTGTTTTGGTAAACCTGATAAACAATCAAAATGCAACGGCCAATGGAGACCCATATACACATTCTCTCTTGTTGATCATTACATTTTAGATGAGTGGGGTAGCAGCTTTGCAGTGAGGTAACGTAGCAAATATACTAGTCATGCATCGCAAATGAATGGCTAACATTTCCTGGAATGCATATTTCTGGCTAGCTCTCTTACACTGATGATCTCACTCCAATTACAAATGACTGGATATTGATGGTAAAGTAAATCAAATTGCTTTTACAGGTCCTCATGTCACGAGCTGCATTTCCGATACCCTCGGAAGAAGGATGGAAAATATTCGCACCTAAACGCTCGTTAGCAGTATGCATGGAAAGTGTGTTGAGCTTTTGGAGCATGAGGGACGACTGTATTAGCGGTACACTGTAACCGGACTTCGGTCACACCCTATTTTGATGTGTTTCTGCAAAGTATATTCATCACGAAATCGTATTTGATTTATTATGAACAAAAAACACCCAAACACAGGATTTTGGTGACGTTTCATCCGTATTGAAAGCCTTTCTTCACACAACCCAAATCTTTTGTTTTGGTATTTTTCAAGCTGCTAAACCAGTGATCATGAATGCATTATCGGGAAAACCATGCAAAAATGTTTGCTAAACATGCGGAATACCTGTGGATTCCTGATTGTTCCATAATGTAAAACTGATCTAGTTGTTGAATACTTGCACTTTTCCTGACTGGCCTGTGGATTTGGTGATCACTGTATAAAGATTAGTTACTGTGAGTTTATTACTGCAGAAACTCGATCGAACATTCAAATACGCACGGCATTTTTGTACTTACTTTATAATTCTTGAGAACAGTAGGTAATCTGAATCCGATAGTTCCGTATAACTGGGGTCCAGTCAGACGAACGGAAGCAGTGAAAGCGCGAGCACTCCAATCATTGTCAGGAACATCACAGTTTTCCGTGTGTGTATGTGCGTCAGTTTCATCGTCTGATCTTCCTGCATTTTTCAGGTACGCAGCTTTCTAACCTTGAAACAGCCACCTATTATTGGACACCGGATGTGTACATTCTGCAAGATGCGGATTCCCAGATCGCAGCAAGACAAAATATGAATCAGCTGAGCAATTCCGCTGGATCCTCGGGCACCGGAGTGAATGGATTCTGTCTGGCATCATTGTACAAATCCAAAAAGGTGGACTATCGGGTTCGCAGTTTGGATCATTGGGGCAAATCGTGGGTTCCTATATTCGACATGAAATCACAACAATATATGCTTTTAGGTGAGTCGTTAACGATCATTTATCCTTTCATTTTAAGAACATTTTTATCACTAGACTACTGTCTATTCGAATGCATGAAGGATGCACAAAGCGCATTTGATAGATCAGCAACAAGTTGTATTGCTCCATTCGGTATGCTTTTCGCACGTACGCGGTACAAAAACGATGCGGCTAGACGACCAAATGTGGACATCCTCCGGTCGGAAACTCAAAATTAGGGATCAACTTTGGATTGCTTACCCTACCTAGGTAGTTGAGTGACTAATGATGCTAAGCCAATAAGGTAGGTGACTGCAAACATTTCCCGGATACGGGCTGTGTATTTGGGGCTGAAGCACCGGGAGCGTTAACATGATGTTTCCATGAGATTAAAAGTCTCATTTACTGTACCAGTTGTGTCTGTGGTAAGAACAGGAGTTGGCGTGTAGAAAACATCTATCCAGCTGCCGAAATGAACCATTATGTATTGGGGTGTATTTCGGTGGAAAATTCATTACCACATCGAAATCCATTGAGTATTTTTATCGATTTGAACAGGTATTGTCCAGTCCTAACTATCATCTAACGCAACGGACCTCGTTTGCATTTGTCTCACATGATTGTGAAACACTAGTTGGAGGACAGTAAGTGAGGTAGAGATGAAGTTTTTATGCAAAGGACACAAATACTTTGGGTAAAGTAATTGTCTTCCAGACTGGGATGTAGAAAACTCCGCAACAGATTACCCGAAAAACATGGCCCCACTGTTACTATTTCTTATGCCGCCAGAATGCTTACTTACTATTGCATACACGTACGCACAGTCACACCATATTGTTGTGTATTCACCATACAAAGATTCACCTGCTTCCAAAATATGCTCACTTCCCATCTACTGTACGATTTAGTATTTATTTTCGTTTGCGTTTTGTGCGATTGACAGCGATCAGTGAGGCATCCTTCACCACATCTGGCTGCATGAAGATGATAACGATGAGGAAGACTAGGTAAAATGGGAGCCGGCAAGCAATGATAAGTCCAGTCTGATGTGAACATATGCTATGCTTTTTGAGTTGATGAACAACTACTAACGAATAGCTGGTATTAGTTCATATTGTGATCAGGCCTACCAATCACTACGTACAAAAACAATAGGTGCTTTTAAGGTAACCTATATCCTAGGCAGTGTTGTAACGCTTACTGAATCTAATGTGCAATCTGAACTGCGTACCTGATCTGAATTCACAAAATCGGATGTAGGTCATTATCAGCCAGCCCACGCACTGCTTGGTCACGAACCCACCACACGAACAGGAACTCACACTGATCAGAGAAGTAAAGCGATGGAGAGGGGGGGGCGAGGTACTCTATAATTTACTCTCACACCAATCCATACCCAGTCCTATTAGACGCCCGTGACGTTTGACCGCGGGGAAATAATCTGAGCCTTTGAAAACAGCTGATCACATCGGCTGCGTTCTCATTTCGTAATGGGCATATTTTGTAATTGTCTTTATCCAATCGTCACCAGTGATGGAGATGATAATCAATTGATTCACTTCTTGAAATCCATGCTCCCTACAGGTCGACAAAAAAGCAGCACAGTTACTCTGGATGATTTGACGTGGAATGGGCAGTGTCTATACGATCCGAGTGGATCGCTTTGTGGAGCTCGGGGTTTCACCGTGTCCATGTGGATCAAGCTATACTCGATTAGTGCCACCAGGCTGCGTTTCTATCTGAACTCAGGCGATTCGGGCACGTCCAAGCTGACCATACAGGACAATCGTGGTGTGACCATTTTTAGTGATGCCTCTCTAATAGGAGTCTCGATATCTCAATATTACACGAATTGGAAACTGATTTTGGACTCAAACAGTTACAGTATCGGTAAGTTTGTTTGTCTCTGTCTCTAATTGCGTGAACGTATCTATGTAAAAATGTGGGTCAACGAATTCTCTTTCAAAATTTTCTTGTGTCACGTGATCAAAATCGGAGAAGTGTCATTATCAAAATGCGAACAGGGTGATGGTGTTTGTGGTGCAGGTGCCTTAAAACTCGAAGTTAGAACAGCACCAGTGCCATTTAGAACATCAGACGGATAAACTCGGGCTTAAGGTTATCCCTTCATGTATGAGATAGAAATTGTACCGGCAACAAAGGAAAATGGTAATCGGCACTTTCTTCTTCCTTACAGAAAAAAGATTACTTCTTTGAGTTTGTTCTCAACAATAAATATGATGTCTATCGAATTTGGTGGTCCTCACTTAATGAGACCAACGAAACACATGGTGAAAATAGGACACATGGTGAGGAACAATCCCCGGTTTTTCAGTATGCATCAGTAATGAAACAAAATTGCTTTTCAGAGGATAAAATTCACATAACAGATTAGTGAAAGTTAGTTTCATCTTGAGAATGGGTGTGAAATTCGTAATGATCGTACAGCTGTGTTCGGTCAACCGATCTTCGGACTTACTCGGATTGCGAAGTGTATCTGTGGCGGGGGTGGGTGAGGTGGTGTGTTTGTGAACGTAGCGAACTTGTTCTGATAGTCGATCATGAAATATATATATATATATACATATATATATATGTATATATGTATATATATATATAGTGAGTGTGTGTCTCGATCACATTCACAGGGGGATTTGTTTTAGCCAGATGTGAATTCTCATGCACTAGTGAGAAGCGTATTCATTCCGGGATCGAATTCATCCAGAATCTAAGCGCAGCTTTGCGTCGTTTCCACTGATAGCCGCCGACTTCAAATAATAACGAAACAATGAGTCTTACTATTGACTGATATATTTCAATAATGCAGAACATCCGTATCACCCATACAAATACATACCACAGAACCACTTGGATGTCCTCTTACATCGCGATTCGTTCTTTTCCATCCAGGTCAATGGGTTAATTTGGGAATACTCTGGAGTGAGGCTCAAGGTCTTACAATGCTGGTGGACGGAATCAGTTACGGGAGTAGCGATTATCAGGGTCATAAACTGTTCAAAGGACGTGCTGCTTCACCCTACGTGGTCCTCGGTCGTTTCAACACGGACGACGATACCACGTGGCTATCTCCGTTGGATGCAAATCAGAAAGAACAACAGCAACAAAAAATCAGTCCGGATGGAGGCGAGGTGGCCTGGGAAATGGCGAATTTCGCTCTCGGTGAAGTCACCTATTTTGAACGTATACTAACCCAAACGGAGTATCGCAAACAGTTCGAACTACTGGGTTCGGCGCAGCTACGTTCCTTCACGGGATATCTGTGGTATGGAGCGGACTTGGTCGATCCGCCCGTCGTCTATATGACCGCTGCTGTGAAAGATGATCTACCTCAACCTGGCCCAATATTGCTCAATCAACTCAATTCATCTGTCTTCGTACTACGGAACCCGCAAGCAGTGAAAATTATGGGCGATACTATATTGCGTATCGGACCGATCCAGGCCGATTCATGTCCTGCGAAATTGGACAACTGCATCAAAGTAATTCAGTTTTGGTTTTGACGGTTTAAGATAAAAATTAAACAAATCATGTTCTAAATAGTTTGCATATCAATGAATCAAAATCTTAGGTTGAAACTCGCTTACTTTCAGTTATATTTTCAAATGCAGTGAAGAAATGTCACCTTGAGATTAGGCCCTACTGGGAAGAGCAACTCTCAGAAACAGGTTTGGCGAGCCACTGAATTATTACGTGATGGTTTAACAAGTTCGAAACGGGACACAAGGAGTACTGGACAATCATTTTTACAGTTCGAATTCTTCTTGATGATATGAATTTGACAATAGATGCATACCGGTCTCATATTTCTTGCTCTATACAGCATTGACCAAAATCTGCTCTTAAAGTAACTAAAGAACGGCTACAACGATTATCGGATAGTTTGCCATGCATCAATCAGCCATTGGGAATGGGTCGACGTGATGCTCACTAATCAACTTAGTGGACAGAATCGCCGGTTAAATCCCACTATAGGTCTCACCCAGACCGAAAGTACTTGTCAGCAAACCTTAGTAATCAATATCCAGATTGAAATGTATCTTGGGAATATTGTACTGTTTTTAAATGTATTATTTAAGGATAATGATATCTTATTGAATCCCACGATGCTTTTCTGTCTAGTTCATGCTCACTTCCCTCCTCCCCCCACCCCGCGCCTCTGTTTAGGGTTTAAGCACTGGGGCATGGATACGTTTGGGTGGACCACGATTCACACCGGCCCCGACTAACACTACACCAGTCCTGTTGCTCACTGGAAGCAATGGTGATTTCGGTATTACAATGCAACAGAACGGGCTCAAACTCGGTGCTTGGGTATTTACCAGTCAAGGAAGTTGGACGTGTGCGGTAAACACTGTAAATTTGGCATCGGAAACAATGAATATGCAGTGGATTCATGTCGCATTTGTCTGGGGTCCACAGGAGGGTCATCTGGAATTTTCTCTTCAACTACTCCTAAACGGTCAAGTGCTTAACGCTTGTCCGATGGAAGGCAGTACCTCTTCGGTACAAACCGATACTAGCTGGATCAAAACAGCCGCTGCAAGTGCGAAAGAACAGCACAGAAAGTATTCAGTCCCAACTGGTCGATATATTTTGATGGATTCAAAACAATTGTACCTCGTCGGTTCCAACTTGTCAGTTGCCGTACTCGCTATACAACCAACAACTCTAACCAATACAGGTTTACTCTCTTTATTGGGAGTAAGTTATTTACAATGGGTTAAATTGCAAAGATTCACATTCTATTGGACATTCTCAGGAATTCTACGTGAGCTAGCTCAAGATCGGGCCACGCCTTACATGATTACTTACGGAATGGACAAAGACGATACACCTTTGGGGGCTTGGTGTACACAAGGTATATCCACTCGGTCGTACATCACCCTGACCGGAGATCTGATCAGTACACAGTTGCGTACAAATTTGGCCGGGGTCTGTTTGATTGATCCGAAAAAATGCCGTGAATACGCGTTTGTCATTGATTTCAAATTGCTTTCATCAAATTGGAGTGGCACATCCGAGAAGCAATCGTACGAACTGTTCCGATCCACACCACTGGGCGCGGACGAGGATACGGTCGGATTGGTCATATCGCTTCAACCGGCAAACAATATGCTCACTGTGGATGTGCGTAACGAGATACAACTATTCAGCAAATCGGTTCTATTGAACTATTTGGGCGGATATAACAGTTGGATTTCGCTCGAAGTACTTTACTCCGAGACTGGGATCAAATTGCGTAAGAGTGGGCTCGTTCTGCCAACACTGGAATCAGGATCTACCGCACTCAGGAACAATAATCCATTGTCATCGACTGTGCGAGCCACATTGAATTTCATTGTCGGACGAGAAGTTCCCGTTTGTGTCTCGTCTGTGGCCATCCTAGATGTGCCGGACGGTCAAAATGCCGAAACTTTGATGGACGGCCTCAGTTCCAGCTCATGCTATCCCGAAGTGGATTATATCAATGAACTGAAGGATGCCAATCCGGATCAGAATAATCAATCGGAATCAGCAACGCAACTGGACGACTTGCAGGCATCAATCAGTATTTCAACAGTGCCATGTCTTTATAATCCAGACAAATGTAGTTCGGGCACACTGATCGCGTCCCTGTGGGCTCGTATTGACGGTTTCAAAGACGCATTTGGTCAGAATGTAACAATGGACGCGGAAACAAATGTGAGTTATTTACAATCGAAGAAGCATTGTTAACCAAACTATTCATGGTAATGCATCCCTCACAGTTTGTTTTTTTTTATCCTGAGTAATGTTTTTTTTAATCATATCTGACGGATATCGGAATAGGCGGAGAGCATAGAACACCCTTCCAACATCTTTCCGCTTTTCCTTTAATTTTTCATCAACACCTTCACACATACGATTTGATGTGCTGATATCCATTCTCAACAATAAATTAAGTTCCATATACGGATTTAGACTTTGATTCGGCAAAATCAGTTTAAGGAAGCAAAAGATTAATGACACCCACCCCCACCTTCGCCATTAACGCGACCGAATTGGAAACATAAGTAATTGGGGCTCAAGTGTAACGAGCGCTGGTCTTCACGACTGAAAAATGTCCCCGGGCGCACTTTGGTCGAAAATTAGGATGGATTAAATATCGGATTTCCCGCATTCCGTGAGAGTTCTGTGGACTTCAGTAGGGGAACGATAGTGAGTAGTTTGCCATTTGCATAGACCAGCTTCCTCAAGCGCATGAGGAAGCCTATGAATGATCGCCATGTTTTGACAAAACGTATGTGCGGTGAGGTTTTCTTGCAGAACAAGCGTGGACCCCCGAACAGCTTTCGGCATTGCACGGACAAGAAATCATTATCTTTGAGTCATCTGTTTGCTTCCATTCAAGAATGATCAGTTTTGATTTTGCAGTCCAAAAAGATAATGCAACCACAAAGGATTGATCGTTAAAGTGAAACGTGTATAAATCCGTAAGTACGTGCATCCTCCCGGGTCAGGTAGATTGAATTTTTTTCATCGTGAGATATCACGTGAGTCCATTCCCAGCCCCCATCTCATGTGGTGTCTAACTCGATCTGCAATATTAGGTTCAGTCATCCTTTGACATAGCATCACTTATCTATTGCGTGCATTCGTTGGTGCCCGTATCATCTGCTGTATAATTCAAGACAGTTGTTGTTTGGTTTCAGGCAGTATTTATAAATAGTCCCTTGTTATTCTCAGTGCGTGCACTTTGTTTTCGACGTTGTCTTGGACACTAAATAAAGCAGCCCCAATATATTGTCTTGATCTGTAGTTCCTTTGGTAACCCGGATTAGTTGCATTGCTGTAGCCTTAGAGCGTAATATATGTCCCTGTTTCAACTCAAGTAGCCACCGATCCTAAGGTATTGTGTCCGTACTTTTTTGAACGAACGGTTAAAACTCATAATTCGAGTGCAATAATCGTAGGAGTTTCGCTGACAGATTACCCANAATTTACTAAATAACAAATCAAGATGTACTGCGTCAGACGTCACACATCTATGCGTTCCAGTTTACCAGGTACACACGCTATGGTCTGCATTTTTTTCAGTGTCCAGCGGGATTAATAGAGGTATTTTTTATCCTTGTGATTGTCGTCCGGGATTAAATTGACTTCAGTAAGTACGGGGTGAGATCCGTACACAAACTCAATATAAGGTGAATTTCGTCGTTTAGAGAGCCGAATAGCACTGTACAGCTGTTTCGAACCGATTTGGTCTCATCAACATCGCACGGATCGATCGACCGACTAAGGACCACAAATCCAAGATATCATAGTACCCACATAACTCAAGATAATAAGTAATAAAACTGAACGCTAAGCTTCATAGTTCTCTGTATAGAAGTTGCGTGAATATGTGCAGAAAAATAGGGCTGCGCTGAAACCACTGCATACACTATATAAAGGAAAGAGGAGAGAGAAGCAATTTGGACTCAGATGACACAGAATGGTAGAATAGCTACACTATAAAACAAATAATAATTGTTTTCGCGCAAGTTGACAATAGATGACGTGATATACGCACGGAACACACGGTTTTGTTTACCGTAGAAAAGAAATCTGATTTGTCAGCTCAAATGCACTTTCAGCGTCAAACTTGAACTGAAGATATGGAGGACAAACGAATCTCAGCCTGTTTGGTTGTAGCTCCGGTTCAGCATGCAAATTGAAGTAAATAATGAAACTTGTTTATTCGAAGCTCAGTGTAGACACCAACTGCGGGACGTGAAAACGGTTGTCTTTGATATTATTGGGTGGTAGGAATGAGTGTTGTAAACCGTGACATTTACGAATCAGTTCACTATACAGACAAGTCCAGATTATTTCTAACCCTCTGTCTTTATTTTTTGATTGGTTAGATCATTTGGCGACCCCAATAAAGTATCCAAAATCAGCCCATTGGAGTGGGGGTTGTTCGGACTGAAATCATAAAACTGGTTCTGAGTTTTTCCACTCAAAAATCCACGTAACGTTGTTAATTACGTGGTAAGATGCTATGGTGGATCAAACCTCAGTTGGAGTAAATCTTGATTGATTCAGTCGGCGATTCGTGTTTCAGTTGCGTACTGTTAGATCGATATGAAGTCTGATCAAACGGAGAGAGTTGTTTACGAATGATGCATGCTAAGCCAAACGAATGTCGAGGGACACCGTGTACACTACGGATGGGAAACCATGTCACTACTTGCAAAAGGTCATTGAGGACTGTGGATCCGGTGAATATGCAACAAATAATGCTGTGGGTTGGGAAACTCTCGTGTGCCAGTGGAATACTTGACTGCTTCCCACGTTTGAAAACTGTAAACAATATTAGTAAACATGTCAGATAAGGGAATAACTGAGGATATCCCACGTAATCCATGGGATTACGAAGAGGAAAGCGAATCCTGGAATACATTCAATGAACATATCAGCTTGACCAGCTATGATTATCATGAATGGCACTTCATCGTTAATAATGTTATTCTTATATTTCAACTGCAGGAAGTGAAGGTTGAACTCGTAGCCCCGAAGACATGCTTTTCGGTTTAATAAATC